TTCCTACTTTGAAGTAGGAATAAGAGATCCTCCGGAATAGGGCTTTATTCCGGAGGATCGGGCCAGTCTAGACGCTTTTTTCCAGCTTTTCCCAAAGCCGGAAAAAAGCGGCGGCCATGTTTATTTAAATCCCCCGCTGATTTCCCTATTCCCACTTTCAAAATTAGCATGCCCCTTCCTAAGAAGGGGCCAGTGTAGATGTAGCCTATTTGTTTTGAGTGGCAAGAGTCTGTATGCAAAACAGCTTCTGACTCACATTCAAGCTGTATCCTCTGGCAGTTGGTTTTAATGGATCTCTGCTTATATTATGACCTATTACTAAGGCTGTTATTTCTGCAGGTTTCTCCCCCAACTGGAGCTCAATGAATCTTGCTCATCTTGTTGAATGTTTTAGTGAGATTTCATTTGTAAAAATCCAACCGAATACCTTCCTCGTCCATCTATTCCACACAGCCCTTGGTTTAGACCAGAAGTGGAGAACCTAAGGTCCAGGGGCCAGCCCCCAGTTTGCCTGGATCTGGCCTGAAGCTCAGGGCTCCCACCCCCCGAATTAGGGGCCCGATATGGGTGCTCCTGCCCTCCTACTGGCCCACTGTGGGGGCTGGACTACACAATCTACTAGCCTGGGCCTCCCAGGCTCTGGTGTGTGAGGAGAATGTGGGGAGCATCTTTCTCCTTCTCGATCAGGGCCCACATCATTGTGGGTTTGGTTTTCCTTTTTTGCTTCTCACTTGTCTACTGTCTGACTGGTTTTTCTATGGGTCAGTGGCCCCCCAACCCAAAAACCTTCCCCACCTTGGTTTGGACACTTTCCCTGGGGGCACAAACTTGCCAGTAATTTAGCCGGGCCCCCCCAACCCAAAAACCTTCCCCACTTTGGTTTGGACACTTTCCCTGGGGGCACAAACTTGCCAGGAAATTTAGCCACCCTCATCATTGGCCAGCATGGGGAAGAGAGAGGAGACCAAACTTTGCAGTCTCTGCTGCCCTTCCAAGTGGTTCAAGGACAGGACAGACCCTTTTCCAAAATTAGTCTTTCCTTTAGGTGCATCCCACTGTCTGGATCAGCTTTCTTATGACAAATACGGTGCTGGGGAACAGGGGAACCCAGACCCACTCTCGACTCTGGTTTCCAGACCAGGGACACTGATAGCAACTCTCTAATGTCCCCAGAATCAGCTGCATGACAGCCACGATTCCCTGGGCCACTTCCCCATAGCCTTCCCCAGCACCTCCCTTACTGCAGGCTTTTTCTCCTGATATCTGATAGCATGTGTACCTCCATAGCCCCTTCTTACACCCACCTCATTGTGCGCAGTGAGCTGGCAGAAGGGGAATCTTTTTAATCAGTACCAGCCGGTTCTTAATTGGCTCCAGCTATCCTGATCAGCCTGTGTTAATAGGTTCTGGAAAGCCCCTGAGTGACTTCCTGTGTCTTAATTGGCCTGTCTGCCCTAATGGATTCTGGCAAGCTCCAGACTGTTCTGGATTAGCCCTTTTTAGCTTACCATGGTAAAATACCTATTTAATCTGGAGTTAATATACTTGCCTTCCCTTACTCTCTTGCAGCCATCTAGCCTGACCCTATCGCCTTGCTTAGGGGCATCTAAGAAATCAATGCCTAGCTCTAGCTTCTTACCAGTGGCTTCTATATGCAGTGACCAAGAGTCTCCTCTCTCTGCTCTTAAATCATCGAGATTGGTTTGGGGACAAAACAGAGCCACAGTTTTGTTGTTTTGCTCTTGCAGGCTAAGTCCCCTAACACCACAATTAGCATGCTCTGAGAATACAAGACGCCGCCATGTGCCTTAGTTCAGGCGAGGGAATGTACAGGCTGCACCTCTATAAACCAGGACGCTCTGGTCTGGCACCATCAACCTCAGCCTGGACCATTCTACACGACAGATCCACTTCCTGGACACCACAGTACAAACCAACAATGGAAAATTAGACACCACTCTCTACAGAAAACCCACCGACTCATACAGTTACCTACATGCTTCCAGCTCCCATCCAGAACACACCATTTTTCTCCCTCATCCCCCTCAATTCCTTTAAAGCCACGATCCTGCAAACAAATGCACCAATGCAAATCTTTACATCCAAAGAGAATCCTATTTAAGGCAATGGGATTCTGCAAGAAAAAACATGAAAGTCTAGAGCAGTAATTTATTTGCAGGGTCAGTGCATAATGCAGTTGAATTTTAAAAAAAAAAATCTAAAGAATTTTATTGTGTATTTTTCACCAACTTCAAGCTCACATTTCCTATCACCTATCAAACATTTACTACTAATGTCTTAAG